GGCAAAGGTAATTGAGGCCACATATGCAAACGACCTCTGTGTTCCGAGGCAAAGGCCAATTAGGCCACATATGCAAATGACCTCTGTGTTTATTTATTTATTTATTTTATTTATTTTTGGATTTATATCCTGCCCTCCCTGAAGGCTCAGGGCAGCTAACAACGAGGCACAAGTGCCAGAATTAAAACAGATAAAACAGCCTAAAACAGTAAAACAATACAACAACAAAGTGTAAGTGCAAGATGGGGTAGATCTTAGTCGAATGGCATTGGTCCCGCAACTTGTCATCCCCTCTCCTTCCAGGGTCACCTCGCACCCAGAGGGAACCACATATTGGTGGTAGTGGTGCGATGCTGCATACATATCGTGGTGGAATTATAGTGGCGGCGGCTCCTACTCGAAAGCCTGGCAGAAGAGCTCTGTCTTACAGGCCCTGCGGAACTGAGAAAGGTCCCGCGGGGCCCAGATCTCCTCTGGGAGCTCCTTCCACCAGGTAGGAGCCGCCACTGAAAATGCCCTGGGTCTAGAAACAGCAAATTTAACATCCCTGGGGCCTGGAATTTCCAGGAGATGTTGACTCCCCGACCGTAGTGCCCTTGGGGGAACATATGGGGAAAGGCGGTCCCTTAGGTAAGCTGGACCCTGGCCATACAGGGCTTTAAAGGTAAGAACCAGCACTTTGAAGCGGATCCGGTATGCTATTGGTAGCCACTGCAGCGCTTTCATCACAGGCTGAATGTGATCCCTCCTAGAGAGACTCATCAACAGCCTGGCTGCCACATTCTGCACTAGGTGCAGCTTCCGGATCTGCGACAAAGGCAGCCCCAAGTAGAGAGCGTTACAGTAGTCTAACCTCGAGGTGACCATCGCATGGATCACTGTGGCCAGGTCATCGCGGTCAAGGAAGGGGACCAACTGCCGAGCCAGCCGAAGATGATAAAAGGCCAATTTGGCCGCCACCCTTTGTCCCCGACCTTGGAGAAAAGAGGCAACCATTGAAGGGCAAGTCCCTGAATTACCACGTCGGTGAGGCAGTGGGTCAGCAACTGGTGGTCAACCATGTCGAACGCAGCCGACAGATCTAGCAACACCAGTGCTGCCACACCACCCCGATCCAGATGCCTACTGAGATTGTCAGTCAGGGCGACCAGCACCGTCTCTGTCCCATGACCCGGGTGGACGCCGGACTGGAAGGGATCGAGGACAGAAGCATCATCCAGAAAGCCCTGTAGCTGTAACGCCACCGCTCTCTCAATAAGTTTGCCCAAATAGGGCAAATTGGACACCGGCCGATGGTTGGCCAATTCGGCTGGGTCCAAAGATGGATTTTTCAAGAGAGGGCAGACCATCGCTTCCTTGAGTGCCTCCGGGAACCGTCCCCCCAAGAGGGACATGTTAATAATCTCCCGCAGGACACCTTGGAACCCCTCATGGCATGCTTTTATGAGCCAGGAGGGGCACGGATCAAGGTCGCATGTGGTTGGGCGTACAGATATGAGCAATCTGTCAACTTCCTCCAGACTGAGCAGGTCAAAACACTCTAAACCTGGCGCCAAAGGCGTGCAAGGGGCCTCAAGTTCACTTACTGTTTCAATTGTGGCGGGGGGGGCACGATGGAGCGCCAAGACTTTGTCTGCAAAATAGCTGCAAATGCCTCACAGCCAATATCCAATTCCCTAACATTTTGCCTGCCCTGTGGCAGAGCTGTCAAAGACCGAATTATACTAAATAAGTGGGCTGGGCGTGAGCTAGCAGATGCAATCGAGTTTGCATAGAAGTCTCTCTTTGCAGCTTTGACTGCCATCTCATAGGCTTTCATAAGCGTCCTATAAGATGTTCTTGATGCCTCATTGCGAGCTCGGTGCCACTGTCTCTCTAGCCGTCTCAGTTCTCGCTTCAGCTCTCACAGCTCCTGGGTATATCAAGGCGCTCGCCTAACACGAGTGTGGAGAGGGCGCCTGGGAGTGATCTCATTGATGGCTGAGGAGAGACGGAAATGCCAGTCCTCCACCAGCTCATCCAACGAGCCGACAGGGGGCCTCAGATCCCGCAGGGCCATCTGGAATCACATTGGATCCATTTGGTGCCACGAGCGAGCAAAATTCCACTCGCCGCCTAAACAAGGTCGGGGTGGAATGTTCAGACGGGCCATCAGGGCCAGGTGGTTCAACCATGGCACTGCCTCTGCAGTGATCCGGTCCACCCACACCCCCGCTGCAAAGCTCAAATTGAGCATGTGACCGGCCCAATGCGTGGGAGCTGAGATGAATTGAGAGAGTCCTAGTGCCGCCATGGATGACACCAGGTCCGTAGCTCAGCTGGAGGTCATGTCCTCGGCATGGACATTGAAATCACCCAAGACAATCAGCCTAGGGTGTTCCAATGCCCAGCCTGACATGAGCTCCAGCAGGGACGACAGGCTACTGGCTGGTGCGTTAGGCGGTCGGTACACCAGCCAGATTGCCAAACTCTCATCAGCCTCCAGCATCAGACCGACACATTCCACACCCACGATCTCCACTGACGGAAGCGCCCTGAAGGAGTAAGCCTCTTGAATGAAGATAGCCACTCCTCCCCCCCGCCCCCTAGTCTGTGACTGGTGGAGGAACGAGAACCCAGGTGGGGCAAGCTGGGTGAGAGCTACCATTTCACCCTCCCGCACCCAGGTCGCGGTCACGCATGCCAGGTCAACCCGTTGTTCCTGTACAAAATCCCGATTGTAGCTTTGTTGATAATAGACCTGGCGTTCCACAGCACCAGTGACAGAGGGGGGTTCTCCATCCTGGCCCCACTGCCGGCCACCCTTGGGATGGGCCGTAGGCTGGAACAGCGCCAAGCCGCTCTGTTTCTCTGCATCCTTCCCTTAAAGCCCTGCCTAGGCCCACTGCAAAACTTCCCCCGTCCCAAGAGCACCGGAATTTGCTGACCAGACATTTGTTACACTGGTGATCTCCGCAGTGCATCAGACCAACCAATAGAGAGAATGACTGGAAGTAGCAAAATCCACTCCTAAGGCAACAGATTAAACACTATCTACTACCGCTGACTAAAATCAAAGTGCTGTTATGCAAAATACTAAATTACCTGACGTAAGAAGTCATACCAGGGAGTCCTGACTATCAAAACATTGTAAGTCCCTGAATCACAATCCCCCCAACCACTTCCATCACTCGTACAGCACTCATCCTCAATCCTACTAGTAGACAACTCCCATCCACCCACATGCACACAAAGCTGTTGCCAAATTGAGAGAGTCTGCAGCTATGTCCACAGCTGCCAAGGGTACAATGCAAGAGATGCTACTTGGCAAATTCACTTGCTGTGTGACAAGGACAAACAGCTAAAAATGGTAAACAGCTAAAAATGGTGTCATGTACTGGGGGCTTAAAAGTGAGTCAGTTAACTGTTTATGACATACGAGCAGAAAAAAACAAATATTTCAGAAATAAACAGCTGTGCTACTGTTAGTCAAGATAAGCACTTTGAAGGTTAGACAGAAATATTTCATATGTACATGTAATCATGCATGTTTGTAAGAATGTCTCATAAATAAAATCAGTTGTTTGTCGTGAACTAGCTTAGTCAATGATCAAAGAATCCAACTTTAACACAAAAGCACACATCATCAATAAATGTTTCATATTTCACACTTCAGTTTTTCCTTACCAAATACCACAGATCTGAGCACACCTACCTGGGAATCGATCTAATTGAATTCAGTGATACTTTTTTTTTTTTGCCACGGCTAACTTAACTAACATAGGGTTTTCATGCCAAGAGATGTTCAGAGGTGGTTTGCCACTGCCTGCCTCTGCATAGTGACCTTGGACTTTCTTGGTGGTATGTCATCCAAATACTGACCAAAGCCGACCCTGCTTAGCTTCCCAGATCTGATGAGACCAGGCCAGCCTAGCCTATCCAGGTCAGGGCATTGCGATACTTACTTCTAAGTGAACTCGTACAAGGTTGGGCTGCACAACTGCAAGTTCGGTTTTGTGTGTGCATTTTTTGAAATCTATTTTGACATCCAGTTTTGTGATAACCTTGCTAATACCTTGTCCTCTAGAGAGAGAAGGTTTTTATTGTATTTAGCCATAGGCCATTACAAACCACAAACAGAGAAGAATGCAATAAAACATAGAGAATTGTATAAAATAAGATACAGTCTAAAACATTATAAATCCATAAAACCGAGGTTATAAACAATTAATTCACAACATACCCACTAAAATCAGTATTAGCTAAGAACAGCGTTGGCCCGTATTTTCCTTGCAGCCAAGGCAAATAGAGCCATTCTATTGGATACATCGGCATTGGCATCGGCTAGCAAAAATATAATCTTCTCTGGGGCTGAATAAAAGCTTAAAATTGGTAAAATACCAGAAAAAATTTGACCTAGGCTGGGAATACAATGGGCAATCAAAAATGTAATGGGAGAGATCCTCAATAGCAGAAGAACCACAAATACATAAACACTGTGCCTTGGGTGTTCTACTATAGCGGCCGACCAATACGGCCAAGGCATTGATTCAAAACGCAGAAATGTAAAAGCTGCTCTAAGGTTATGATTATCTATATTAACCAGGTAAGGTGATCTAAAATGGTCATTCTTAAATTACCTTGTCCTCTAAAACAAAGCTGTTAACATGTGATATAGACCTGTCATGCTAGACTGAAGCACAATTTTGCATCACACTAACTCTAACAAACAAACTGACTGAAAGATGTGTTCCATAATATGTCAAGTCTCAAGAAAGCATGCTTACTTCTTATAGCAGCTTTCTAACTTTATTGCTCATTTCTGAATAAAATGTAGCAAGTTTTGAAATAATTAAGAGACAAAAATTAATCCAAACTGTTTCAAAGCAAGTACCTCTGGAACTATTTTATTTGTTAAAATATTTTCCTACATTCCAACCCTGATGTCTACAATTATACCTGGAATGCATAGGTATCAATAGTAGGTTTAAAGTTTGAAGTTTAAAATGTTTGATGCTGACCTGAGACCATAGAGAACTGTCCCATCTGGATGTAAACGAATCATCCTGTTCTTCACAGTGACACCATGTACAAATGACTTCTTATCATTCAGGAAGTAGGTATCAGGAACCCAAAGCTGATCTGCTACTCTATTGTCCAGGGTAAGGTTTAAAGGTATTACATTATACGAAAGCCTCTTATCCCTCCATGCTTGCTGAAAGTACATTGTCAAGGTATAGTCCTGAAATCATAGAAGAGACAGGGAAAAAATAGGTTGAAATTGGTTTTAACATTGCTTTTATTGCTTGAGATAAACAAGTAAGTTCTCCTTCTGTAAGTATCCATATACAGCCCAAATGAGTAGGAATCTAGTTAACATTACCCTCATCCCTGGCCAGGGCCAAACAAGGAAGTATTCACTATGGGTGTTAAAAATATTTAGCCAAACCTGAAAGTAGTAAGTTTTCCCTGCATTTTTCTTGACTAGATTTGAATTTTACATCATTACATTTCACTTTCTACTTTCTGCATTTCATAATTTCCTCCCTGTGCTGCTTTTCCCCGTATCTCTGCAGAAAAGGACTGCATAGTTCGTATACACTCTGTGCATCTGAAGAAGCACCTATAGTTAATGTAAACTTATACTGGAATAATTATTTTAGTTTTCAAAGTGCCACTAGACCCCTGTTTAACTTTGGTTCAACAGACTCTGGAACCATATTCAGCCGATATCCTTTATTATTTTTATTTATTTAATTTATATCCTACCCTACCCCAACAATGGGCTCAGTATTATGATTTGAAGTTTATTTGTTACAGTTCTAACCTCTAAATTAGAAGGAATGCACTTTTTCAGATATACAAGTCTCATTACGGAGAAACATTGCAAGCCTTAATTTTTTAAAAACGTAATACAGTGACTCGGTAAATATTTGACAGGAATAGTTTTGTCTTTAAGGATCAACATTTCATTATGACATGCTTATGAAACGTAATCATACTTTCCTTTCCCCAAATGCACAGTATCAAAATCCCGTACTTATTAAAATAGTAGGAATGAAATAATTCATGACCTTATAAAAGCATCCATCTTGCCAGCAGTCTGACATTGGTTTGGAGTACAGGACATATTGCCTAATTTTGAGCAACTTATACAATATTGTGATTCAACATTTGTGTGCTAATATACCTGAACGTTCTCTTGGTCAGACACAATTTACTCCACAGATGACTACATTTGTCTGAATTTGACAAACACACTGTAACAGTTGATACAGCTCTCAACAATTTCTGACCTTTCAGTTTCCTTTTTTGGTCAAAAAGCATATTTTCAAAAATCAAAGCAAATGCCACAGTGACCCTCCCAGATCACACACTATTAGCCGAACTGATTTATTTACAGCAATTGGCAATTTATAAATGGGTCCTTGCCAACTATACCAAGGTCCTGTTCCCACCAAGGGTTACCAGAGAAGGAGTCGAGGCTGGTGTTGTTAAAATAAATGTCTTTTACTTAAAGAATATAAGTCTCATACAAACAATACTGATGCACTCACACATTCAATCAAGTTCCTCAGAAATACAGTATTAAAATAAGCACTGTTGCATTAGCAGGTGGGGGTGATGATGGGCAATACTTATCTGTCTTCGCAGCTTTGGTTGTTCCAATGAAGAATGGATGGGAAGAAATAGAAATCTAGGGAAAATTCACACACGACTAGAACCAGCCAGAACATGTGGGTCTCTTGACTGCAGACCAAGAGATCAAAGTAGAGGCAAGGGTTTGGGGATAGCAAGTGGGACTCAAGAGGAGTAAAAAGCAGACAGAGGTTGTTGCGGGGGTTGCTAGCTAGGAAGGGCCAGGTGAATAGTCCTTACCTTTTATAGTGGATCCATTAGGTGGGAGGTAACTGTTCCAACCTGTGGACCCACCTACCTGTTAGTCCATCCCAAAAACAATCCTATTGGCTGCCTATAGGAGTGGGAGGTTACCTATAAGGAGTGGCCAATATTGAAATCTAATACCTTACTCAAAGAAGGGCATCTGGGCAGGTGTGAAAACCTTGGCATCAGGATGCTTCATTGTAGTGTAGATGAAGCTGGCCATTCCCTTTGTGAACCAAATGTCCATTTGTCAGGAAATACCAGTGCAGGAACAAAGCAGTGATGGGTAGTATGTGACTACAACTATTTCTGCAATGGGGACTGTCTCTTTTCAAGCTGTTGTTTCTTACTGCTCACAATAATGGAGGTATGTGCTTCTTCACCAGGCTGGTAACTGTGTAGCTTAATCCTTATTTATGTGTAAGGCTTGTGCAGGCACCTTCTATGTGTTACATCACAACAGGTGACTTAAAGTGTACAGTTCTCTGAGCCTATGTGTGTGTGTGCACAGTCCATTGTGTGTAGCAATAAATATAAGTCCATAAAGCAAAATATCAAGTTCATTCTCTAACAACACAAGTATTCTAGGGTTGACAGGTGGGACCTGGAGATCTCCTGGAAATAGAACAGATGACAGATGTCAATCCACCTAGAGAAAATGGCTGCTTTGGAGAGGGGACTGTATGTCATTATACCATGCCAAGGCCCTCCCCTCCTGAACCCCCCCCCCCAAGGCTCAACCTCCCAAACCTACTGGAATTTTCCAACCAGGATTTGGCAGCTCTAAGGCATTCTGTGTCTAAAAACTTCTTATCAAAGGAATAGAAAGAATGGTATTCATTCTGGTACACAAAACCTAGGAAACCTTCAATGATCTTGGTTTTACAGGGGCAATGTTACTTGGAAGTAAAGAGGGATTTACTTCAGAGAAAATATGGATAAGATCGTAACAGAAGACTCAAGATGCATAAAAGGACCAGTGCAATCCTATGTATCTTTACTCAGTATAATATACACGGATCCTTCTGTTGCCATTGTATTGCTTTACAGTGAAGATGTAATAATCTCTATACATCAAATGTAGATCAGTGAAGATCCTTTGTCAGGGACCATTCAACTAATTTTGGCTACCAAAAGAAGGAAAGCTCCATCTGCCCCATTAATCATATGCATCCCTAGAACTTTATGTTTCTCTTCAGGGATTTCCCCCAGCCATGGGGACCATCTCTCTCTCTCTCTCTCTTCCTCTCTCTCATTCACACACACACAACATTTAGCACTAGGTGTGTATAATATGCCATTTTAAAATTTCTGTTAATTTTTGGACATATTTCTTCTCACATATTTTCTTTGCTAGTTTCCCCATTTTATTTTATAGAATTTCACAGCTTTTTACCATATACCATTTTACAACATTTTACACCATTCATACATTATACCCAAATTTAATGAAATTTATATATATGCAAGATAGCCAATTTTGAGATTTTGGTTGGGAAAAAGTTGACTGATTTCATCCCAAGGTATGAGAAACCACAAAAGAAACTCCAGCTTTCAAACTGAACTGCAGAAACCACAAAACTCATTAATATTCATGTGCATCGATTGTTAGTTCATTGTTTAAACTCCTTCCATGGAATAGAATGATCTTTGAAGAGTTATGAAAATCTGGAGTACAAGGGGTGGACCCGCGATACTCGCGGCGGGGAAGGGAGGCAGAGCTCCAAGCTGGGTAACAAAAGGGGGGGGGACAGCAGAGCCCCAGAGCCGCAGAAACCTCTCTCACACGGTGTCTGAGTTGCCGTCCTCCTCCCCGGCCTCCATCCCCAAATCTCCAGGAGTCTCCCGACCTAGAGGAGCTGATCCCCACCCCCACCCCGCCGGTGGCCAGGGAGCCACGGGGGCACGCAACCTCCCGGAGGAAACCGGCCCCTTTTCCGCAGCAGCAGCTGCCGAAGTGGTTCTCCCGGCCGCGTGGCCAGCCTGAGCCAGGGCACCGAGCGGGGCGGGGCGAGCCCCCTGCGGGGTGGGGTCGCCGCCCATCCCCGCCGTCTCGGGCCTACGCGCCATCGCCGTCGCCCCCAAACAAAGGAGGCTGCCCGAAGGAGACGCCGCCGGAGCACCTAGCCACCCGGGGGGAGCCGAGCACGCCTGGCCTGCACCGTGGAAACAAAGGGCGCCCCACCAGCCATGCCCGGCCGCCGGGCCTGGGGGCTCCTCCTGTTGGCCCTGCTGGGCAGCCTCCTG